CCTGATCGGCCTCCGAGCCATAGTAGGGTTTAGGGTTTAGGTCGTACCAAAAGTTCGAGGCACGCGCAGCGAGCGCAGCGACGACGCTGCTGTGAATGGCTATTTTGGCGTGAAGTCTGAGCATGGCCCAGCATTATCAGCATATCCGGATTAGTGCCTTCGGATCTCACAAAGCTCGGGGCAATACTGTCATGTTCAAGCATGTCGAAGCCATGTCGTATGGTATGAGGGCTTGCGGTTTAGGTTTTAGGCTTTAAGGTTTATGTGTGATACAAAGAAAACAGAAACCAAACAATGCCTAGACATGTAGGATTCTACAGGTTTCAGGTAGGGTTAAGGACAAAGCTGAATGGTACATGCATACATACATGCATGCACACATAAGTACATAAATACAAAAATACATAATTACATACATACATACATACATGCATGCATGCATGCATGCATACATACATGCATACATGCATACATGCATACATGCATCCACACATACATATATCATATTGTAAACTCTGCGTGGATTTAGACAGTTTAGGGATAGGGTTTCGGTTTTGAGGTGCGAAAAGCTCCAAACCCCTAGAAGCCAAAGTAGGAACCCTGCCGACGCTTCTCAACTTTACGGGGCTCTCCCGGCCCTGCCTTTTGAACTCGGCACAGTAAGTCCGAGACTGCAGAACCAGAGGAAGTGCATTATCTTTGGCACAGCCTTCTCGCAGGGCCTGTCGTGAATCACCAGGTGTACTGGAAGGCTCTGCTACATCACGAAGGGTTCTTGTGTTGCATACCACAGGTAGCTATAAAGGCTATGTAAGCGTAATGACCGACTACACAAGTTCCGAGCCCTACGCTTGATGATACACTTCCTGCATTACCCATAATGAGGAATATACCATAATTCCAGTCGTTTAGGGTCCTTAAGGTAATGCAGGATCTATATCATCAACGGTATGTTTAGTGTTTAGGGTTGAGGCTTCGGATCTTGGGAGTTTCGGTTGAGGCTTCGGATCCTGGGGGTTTCGTGAGGTCCTACGGTTGATGATCTAAATCCTGCATGACCTTATGGGAATTATGGTCTATGCCTTATTATGGGTAATGCAGGATTTAGATCATCAACCGTAGGACCCCCGGCCCAAAAAGCCTCCATCCCCGGCCCCCCGGCCTGAACCACCCAGCTCTTCTCAAGCAGACAGCAACGAATCACAAGGTTTAGGGCTTAGGCTTTAGGGTTTAGGGTTAGGGGTTTAGGGTTTAGGGCTTAAACTAGGGAAAGCGATGACAGGCAATGAATTGCAAGCCATGGCACCTAAGGTTGACCCTGGACCTTGGACCTTTGCAGCGCGGAAAGATAAGACCCTTTTGAGCTCATCAACGCCAGTAAGTCGATACAAAAATCACTGAACTAGGACATAGAAACCTGAATCATTGGATCAGGGTCCTATCAAAAAACAGCGAACATGACGAAATGCTTTTTCTCATTGGTGATGCTCGCCAAACCCTACGCCCTAGACTGTACCTTAACTCTGGGGGTTTGAGATCATTGCACAGTCTTCCCCGGGACTTCCTCCCCCAAGCGCTACGTGAAGAACCATGGGACTTAGTAAGCACATCAGCGCGTAAGATGACTGTAGCTGTACCAACGCGTAAACATATACACCTAAGTATGTATATATATATATACACATACACAAAATCATATACACATATACATACATACATACATACATACATACATACATCTATGCATGCATGCANNTGCATGCATGCATGCATGCGTGTGTACACAGAGAGATAGATAGATAGATAGATAGATAGCTAGATAATGGATAGACCGATAGATCGTTACATCGATAGATCGACAGAAAGAAAGATAGATACATAGATAGATAGATAAATAGATAGATAGACAGATAGATAGGTAGATAGCTCGATAGTTAGAAAGAAAGAAAGATAGATAGATAGGCACACAGGAAGATAGGTAGGTTTTATGGTATGTAGGTATGTAGGTATGTAGGTTTGTAGGTATGTAGGTATGTAGGTAGGTAAGTAGCAAGGTAGGTAGGCAGGTAGGTAGGTAGGTAGGTAGGAAGGTAGATAAATAGGTGCCTGTATACATATATATATATATGTGTGTGTGTATATATATGTATCTCTGTATGTATGTATGTATGTATGTATATATAATAGAGAGAAGGATATAATAGAGAGAAGGAGAGAACAACAACGCTATACAAACTCAAGGACAAAAACACTGCCTGTAGCCACGTAGACACTGCCCTTGTGATATATAGAGTCATATAGAATCCTTTCCTCGAAATCCTACAAGGAACCCAACTTTTTAAAGGAACCCCAAAATGAATCCTTAACGGAACACTGACCCTAAACGGAACCCTTAAAGGAACGCTGCACGAAAATCTTCATCTGCCTGGGTGGCAGGGCTGTGGCCGGGTCCTCAGCGTGGAGCTTGGATTGTGGAGGGTTCTGCTTTCGGTTTAGGGTTTAGGTGGATTGAGGGGATTGAAGTCGATTCGAACCGCTTTTCGGCTCGAAATGTGGAATTCAGGGTAATATAGGTGCATAAAAAATTTGAACAGGGTTTTGGGGCACGTTAGTATACTAGTATAGGTATGATGAGGAACCTGAGTCTATACAGGACAGACACAGGTAGCCCCAAATTGTCATATTGAAGCGAACTTGCAATACATACATACATACATACATACATACATACATACATATATATATACACACATGCATACATACAGACATGCATACAGGCATACATACATACAGACATACATACATACATGCATACTTTTGACATGCATACATTTGACCTGCGTGCGTACACACAAACATACATACACACGTTCATATGCGTGTATATCTGTATGTATATATATATATATAGAGGGAGAGAGAGAGAGAGAGAGAGAGAGCGCGAGGGAGAGAGAGAGAGAGATATAGAGACAGAGAGAGAGAGAGAGAGAGGGACAGAGAAGGAGAAGAGGGAGAGTGTGAGGGAGGGAGGTGAGTTGTTGCCCAATCTACGCAAGGTAGGTCTTGGCACGCTAGCGAAATCAAGAGGCAGGGAGTGGTATACCCTGGTAACGGCGCCAAGTCCAAGCAAGACTTATGGGACTTTATATGTCAGCCGTGTTTCAGACTACCACGACCGATTCTTCGGGCCGAGGGCCACTGCACAGGCCAGCTCAGTCTTCTTCTGCGTTTACCGAGCGCAGGCAACGTCTCCGCCAGTGCTCGAAAGGTTGCCAGCAGAAGATTCAAGGCTGAGACGCTGTCCTTAACCTCATGCAACGAGGAAGCGCCACAGGATTTAACGCGTCCCTTAGGCTCCCTTATAGTGTCAGCTCTCTTGCCTTCTGGGGAGAGGCCTGCGCTGCGGCGGAGCTGGCCGGCGCAGCGCTGCCAGGCGGCTGCGAAGCCGGCGACTGGCCGACGATCTCAGCCGAGGAGCCACACTTCTGCTTCAGTGCAAGCGGCGAACCCCAAAACCCCCCACATCTTAAGGCTTCAAGCTTCGCTGCATCCCTTACTATCGGGCTGCCGCGGGTGATTCTGGATGCCTTGCAGCCGTAGCAGTGGTAGCATAGCAGGAGCAACAGTGGTCCCGAACTCCCACCCGCGCTTCGCCAAGGTGCTTGCCAGGACTGCGAGAGGACCTCGCAAAGCAGAGCGATCCCTCACTCCACGCGATGCCCAAAGCCAAGTCTCCCTCTTCACTTCACTTCACTTCGGGGCTGAGGAGGCTTGTCTTGTCTCTGCACGCTCTCTTTGCTTTAATTCTGCTCTTTTTCGCGGTTTTGCTGTGTCTTATAATTTAATTAAAAAAAGCATACGCTCACTTGTCTTTGCTTCGTTCCATTAAAATCTGCAAAGGAACACACACACACACCATTAACGGGCCCTCCCCTCACATACGCCGCCGTTAAGAAGATATGGTTGCCGGGTTCCAGGGCACTACAGAAGAAAGACATGGTTGCGAGTTTTGATTCCCCCCACATACGTGGAAGAGAAGGCCACATGTTGTTCTGCAGCCAGGTGCAACAGAGATCGGCAGAGAAAAATGTCAAGTTCAGGATCAACCGCTTCAGCCGGAAACGTAGAAACTCTAGCCTCTCCGGATTGCTTGCAGAAGCCATGTAGAAACAGATACCGCAACAGGCTGAGCTGGGCGCTCAGGTCCTCTCCCAAGCAAACCTTGCAACCATATATATATATATATCTATATATATATATATTATATATATATATATCCCCTTCTTGCGGTTTACTTACTGTCCTGGGATCTTTGCCACAAACCCCTGGCGGGATCTCTGTCGCGTTTTCTCTTGCAAAGAACCAACGAAAGGATTCTCTTGGGAAAGGCTCTGAGCTCGTCGGCTCTGTGTTCGAGGTGCTTCCTTTGAGGCTTGCAGTGCTTCGGGTCTTCTGTTTTGCAACCTGAGACCCCCATACATTGGCCCATGCAGGAAGGCAGATAGATACCTCTTGTTGGCCAGGCCTGCCAGTCTTGCGGAGTCGGAGTGGCCATGGCTGGAAGGATTTGGAGCTACGACTGGAGGCAGGGAGTGGGCTGCGGCACGGCAATGCCGGGAGCCTCCAATCAGTGCGTGATAACAAATCGTTCTGACTCGAGCGTTCGGGCGAACATGTGGAATCCGGCCCAACTCGGACCTACATCTGGGAATTTTCTCCGAATTCCCTGTCCCTTGTTTCCTTTCTGTAGCATATTGTGGCATGCTGTGATGCTGGCCCGCACACCAAGTCATCTGCCTGGCGTTTTCTGCGGAAATGGCAGGCCCGGCGCACGGCTGTATGCCAAGCGGCGGGGCTGTCTGAACTCGCCGGTGCATTGCACTCCATGCTAAGACACCGACCACACAAAACTGGCTCGAGAAATCGAATTGGGCATAATGTAAGTGATCTTTGTTCAGCCTCGAGTGTTAGGCTGCCTCCTTTCCGAACAAGGCTAAGGCTCACATGCAGTTCTCGCTGGTGGCCTCGGACTCCGTGTAGGACTCGGACTCGCTGCTCTGGGTCTTGCCCTGCAAGGCTCAGAATTGCAGCTGCCACTGAACCACTGCCCAGTCAACTCTGAGGCCCCACAGGCTGCCTATTTCACAGGACTTCCTTTGTGTTCCCTGCCATACAGTACCTACCGTCTTGCCGAAAAAACGGTACAGGTTTGCTACGGTTCGGAGTATCTTCAACTCGCAACAGAACCGAAGCACGCTTTGATCTTGAAGCCCTTGGCCTTCTCGAAGCTCTGTGCCGGTCCGTGGAACATCCCACCAAACTCGGACCAGTAGTAGCAGGGGCTCAGCAGCGCCCAAAACATGACATAGCCCGCGTGAACCTGTTCAACGAAGGAGCTCAGCCTAAGGGCTCTGAGTAATAAGTCATAAGACTCTGCATAAGCCTGTCTGGTGGCAGGGATTCGGGTCCCACGATTGTTGAGGACACTCTGGGCGTCTAGATTGAAGTGTGCGCGAACAGAGGAGGGACATGACTGTTGGCGTGGGTCTGATGACGCCACCTTCGCGGCTGCAAAAGGGAAGAAGTGACGATGCGTGGTGCGTCCCGCTTACGCCACCCACGTGCACGTTCAACGCCTACCGGCGAGCCTGGGGCATCCCTGAATCCCAAAACGAAAGTCAGGCTAGAACTTCGACCCTGCCTGGAAAGGCAGCAGCGCATCCTGGATCGGCTTGTAAAAGCAGAAACCTGCAATCCTGGGCACCGGATTTGTGCTGCTCGCATTCCGGGCGGGATCATCCTGGATTAATCTTGTAATTTGGGGCAATGTAATTGACTGGAGCCGGCTGGTGGAGGGTGGCTGGAGGCGGGTGGCTGGAGAGTGTAGCAGTGTAGCAAAAACGGTCCCATCCCCACGCTGCACCCCTCTGGCCGGCTCCAGCAAGAACCGCGGAACCGCGAACCGAAAAAAACAAGAAACGCTAAGGACCGCGAAGAGCACAGAACCGAACCGCAATTGAACCGAACCGCTCAGAAACGATCCCTCTAAGAACAGAAACAAACCGAATGGAACCGTGTACTTCAAGCCATTACAAGAATGCCTGCTGCCAAGTGTCACTGCCCCGAGATTTCCACCGGCACCCACAAGCGCGGACACAACTGCGAGCTGCTTCCTGACGTTCGCATACCACCATTTGCTGCAAAGACTTACGAAGGTTAGTTGTTGCCATAATCGCAGTACTTTACACCTTGACGTGCTGAACTCTCCCACATTGATGCAGCAGGTGGCAACTGCGAATCTCCCACAAGCTTCTTTGCGATCCAAGCTTCCGGTTCATAAAGGGCACGATGCCATAGGAGGTACCCTCAAAGGCTAGGTGACTCAGTTGCCGTTACTCCCACGAGAGTTCTGCTTCTGACAACATACTTCAAGGCTTGCTGAGCGGAGCCCGCCTCAGCCATCTGCACAAAGAGCGAGAAGCAAACCAAGACTGCCAAGGCCACGTACCACGGCTGCGAGTTGTCCACCTGAACCAGTATCACCAGCATCATCAACATCATCACCATCACCATCGTCGTGTTCTGCTTGGCACGAGAAGCCCGCAAGCTTTGTCGTGGGCCACGCCTTTCCGAAGCTGAACAGGAAGATAGCTTCGAAAAAGAGCGCCAGGAACTGAGCCCAAATGCCTCAGTCCACGTAGACCGCAGCTTCAGCTTGTGCAACAACAACAACAAAAACAACAAAAACGATGTGCCAAAGAGGTCCGAGATGCGGCCGCGGAAGCCGAAGTACTTGTAGCAAATGTCGCTGCTAATGCCTCCAAAGCAACAGCACTAGCTTAACAGCAGAGCGAGACACCTGTGTCCAAAACCGAGCCTCCCAGGGATCTTGCGAAAAGGTTCATCAGGCCGAAAGCACCAGCAAGAGCGCTGGCATCACCTGCCAGAATCGGGCAGGCAGCTTCCCCATCTTCCCAAACTAGTGTGTGCAAGGTCATGCAGACAGCACGAACCTGCATCCATCTGGAAGTATGTGCGAAAATGCGTAGCCAACTGATTGTTCATTGCGAGCTCTGTGCCGAAGCATGCGGAATATTGGAAGATCATGACCACGACACGAACGTC